GAGGGGAAAGACAAGGACCAGCCCATCAACGAAAGTCAGCACACACACATTTATTAAGCTCACCATCTCATGGGTATAGTTTGTGGTGCCCCAAAGCAATTACAATAGTATCAAAGATTCCAGATCACCATACAGTATAAGTTAAAAGTGTAAAATGTTTCAAGAATTACCAAAATGTGATAGACAGGAAGCGAGCACGTCAGAAAAATGGTGCCAATAGACTTACTCAATGCAGGGTTGCCACAAAACTTCAATTTGTAAAAAGAATGCAGTATCTGCAAGGCACAAAGTAGTATGCCTGTAACTTTAAGCATTGCTTTGTAGAGCAGTGCAGCTCAGTGGCTAAGAGTGTGCTTGAAAATCTGACTGCTTGGACCAAAGAGCTCCTCTGCTCACTATGCATCCCCTGGTCATGTTGTCATCTATGCCTCATTCTCATGTGCAAATAAGAATAAAAACATGACCTACCTTATGAGGATGTAGCTTCGGTTTATACATCTTGATTAGGACAGTGCTCCACAGTTCCTAATTGCTATTTTTTTTTTTTTTGAGTTAGTCTCACTCTGTCACCCCGACTGGACTGCAGTAGCATGTTCCCGGCCACTGAAGCCTTGACCTGCTGAGCTCTGGTGATCCTTCCACCTCAGCCTTCCAAGTAGCCAGAACTACAGGCGTGAGCTACCACGCCCGGCTAATTTATTTATTTATTTATCGTGGAGATGAGGTCTCGTCAAATTGCTGGGCTGGATCTCAAACCCACGGGCTCAGGCAATCCACTAGCCTCAGCCTCCCAAAGTGCTGGGATTACAGGTTGCACCACTGAGCCTGGCCTGCTCTCTATTTCAATGCAGAAACGGCAGGACCAGGGAGGAAGCTAGTTTTGGAGATACAGCACCTGTCAACTGTTTTCCCCCCGATCTCTGGTCCACACACACTTGGGGTATGAGCACAGCTGGGCACCAGTGGCCACGCCGTTCTCCTCATTAACCTGAGCATCTAGGGAAGACCATGAAGGGCACCGCTCTGTCTTGTTACACTCTGCTGTTCTTTGCGAAAACTGGGAGCGCCTTGCAGCAAGGAAATGTTTCTCTTGGCTTGGACGAGTAGGACATAGCAAGAGTAAGCCCGCCACTTCAGGTGCTACATGCATGCTCTGGAACACGATACCCATGTTCTTCCCCCTGGGAATGAATGCACTGCCCAGGTAGGAGGCCTGCTCAGTAGCCATCCTGCACTTCCCAGCTCCATTTCCTTTGTACCTTTGGGACAAAGGCAAAAGATTCAAGGGCCTGAACAACTCTGATTCTGGGCAGGGGTCCGGGTGTTGGGGAGTGTGAGGCTACAGGCCAGAGATACAATTCTAGCAACTGAGCCATGGAACGGGAAACTTTCTAACACTCATTTCTGCCATCCAGGTACTAACCAGGCACAACCCTGCCTAGCTTCCAGTATCAGATGGTATCAGGCACGTTCAGAGTGGTATGGCTGTGTAATACTTTTTTCCATCCCTAGATTATGGAAAACTAAGGCCCAGCCAACTCCCTCAATGGGCATCACTAACACCTTCTGTGAAGATGGTGGCATTACTCCAGGAACAATCTTCAGCTTGCCAGATGATACAGCTCCACAGGTCTGCAATTAAACACTCCGCCTGTTGGCAAATCTAGACGGAGGGCCAGAATTTATCTCTTGAACCTGAGATTCACTCACCTGGGACCTCAGGCTCTGTTGAATAAAATTCCCTCACTCTATTCTTCACTGAAGATTAATGAATCATCAGTTCAGATGAGAACTGCTGACTTCCACTTGTTTTGCTCATAAACTAGTGTCATACAAATTTACATGTAATTCTACTCATTTGTTAGTATGTTAAGAAATGGTGAGAAACAAGACCAGATCAGGCCTGCCTGAAAACCTTGGAAGATTTTAATGATTGTATTTAGAAAGTTATCAGTATAGGCAAATAGACTAGGGGAGGGAGCTTAGACTAGAGGATGGTTTGAGGCATCCATGAAGAGGGGGCCAGGTATCAGTGATGAAACCCTAAAAGGCAGCTGGGCACAGTAGGACGTGCCTGCTGTCCCAGCTACTCGAAAGGCTGAGGTGGGAGGATCACTGGAGCACAGGAGTTCACGACCAGGCTGGGCAATGTGGCAAGATCCATTCTCTAAAATCCTGAAAGACGTCAAGCCACTAAGTATCTCCAATACTGCCCCCAGACTGTGTTACGGAACTGCTCTCTGCCAGGTTCGGTGGTTCAGCCTGTAATCCCAGCACTTTTGGGAGCCCGAAGTGAGTGGATTGCCTGAGTCCGCTGTTTCGAGGCCAGCCTGGGCAACTTGGCGAGACCTCATCTCTACAATTAAAAAAAAAAAAAGTTAGCGGGGTGCGGTAGCACGCGTCTGTAGTTCCGGCTACTTGGAAGGCTTGAGGCAGAAGGATCGCCGGAGCCCAGCAAGTCGATGCTGGAGTGACCGTGAATGTGCCAAGGCACTCCAGCCTGGGCAACAGAATGAGACTCCAAAAGAAAAAAGGAAAAAAAAAAAAAAAAAAAGAAACTGCTCTCTATTCCTGGCACCAGATGCACAGTGAACACCTGACTCCTTGCCTCATTATGCCAGAGCTCACCTTTTGCTCAAACTCTCTACTTCAGGTAAATTTTCCTTTTCCTATAGCACATTATTCCTGTTGAGGGAAATTAAAACAAACAAAAAGCTGTTACACTGAATATAGAGTAACTTAGTGGCTCTTACCCAAACTCCTATCACTTTCTAGGCAACACGTATTGACTGAGGCCCATATAGCTAGTGGGTGGTTAAGTCAGGATTATTTGATTTCTATTATTTCCACTCTAAAAAAACTGTCCAACTATGTATGAGGAAAACTGGAAGACTGAGAGAAAGCAAGCATCTGTAACAATCCAAGGGAATTAATTCTCCACTCAGGTTGCTTTAAGACAAAACTGAACACTATAGATGATGCATGTCTCTAATTAACAGACATCTCAAGAAATGGCACAGCACTTCAACAAAGGATTAGATGAAAAATAACACACACCTAAAATCAAGCAATTACAGTACCCATACTTTTTACATTTTCTACTTTAAATGACCTGAAGGCTTTCACTAAGAACCCAAGTGACATGTCACGCTCACCCTGCCAAAGAAACGTGCTTCTTTTCCTTAGAAACACTTGAAGTCATAGCACACTGGTTTAAAATCTGTTTCTGCTGTCTTTTGAATACTTCAAGAAAACCAGTCACTGTTCTGTGCTCCAGAAGCAGCTAAGTCTTATACCTGCAGGTGTAAATGAAGGCCAGCAGACGAGGAGGAAAAGAGCCAAGGAAACACATATCTGGCGCCTTAAAGGCAAACTCCTAAATGTTGAGCAGGCCACTGCAACATTAAGACATCACCAATCTGTTCTTTCCTATTTCAATACACAAGTAGGAAATTTTATGGCTAAAAAATTTTAAGACATCTAGAAAACAATTCTTAAATCTGTCAAGTTAAGATGCATTAAGAAAACTTTATATTTATTCACAGGGTAGAAAAAAATTGCAAGGGAATGTGAAGTCAGTACCAAAAATACTAAGAAGCTATGAAATATGCTGCAATGGCAGCAGGAGACATCATTGGTGACTGTCACAAAAGACATGCCCAGATAGGTTCTAACAGCCTAGTTTAAACTGTTTTTAACCTGTGATACATTCCCATTTATCTTCTGTATCTTGCCCCCAGTCAAGAGTTTGTTGAAGCTTCACTTTCTGTAATCTGTATTGCGAAAACAGGCAAACAGCTTTTCCAGTTATACCCTCCTCATTCCCCAGCCATCATCCTCCAATCACTGCCCTATCATAAACACGTGTCGTTAACTAAGGACAAAGATCCAGACATGCCTGGACTCCCCTTACCTTCTCTTTACCAGAGCAGCTCAAGAACAGAGAATGTTCAGATGTTTATGTGACCATGTTGCTACCAGTATCAACTATAACCTCTTTGGGGTTATCTTGTCTATGTCAGAGAAGCCAGAGACAAGAACTGCATGACCAAACTGTGGGGAAACATTTATATAAATATGTTACTGTCAGTGAATATGCTTTTGGTGCCACTTTCCCATTGCAGAGCCTAGCAAAGGACCCCATGTACTAGTGGTATTTTAACAGTTAATAAACCAACTGAGCACTGGTTTGCAAATGAAGATAATGCAAGCTGTAGCAGTAGCCAACCTTCAGGTCTTACAATGTAGGAGGATTAAGCTTAAGGACTAGAACATGAAAAGTGCTGACCACAAACATGACATGGTAGGAAGGCAAATCTGTGAAGTGGTGCTGACAGTTCTTTGGTACAGCTGCATTCCTACCCATCCATCACATCCCCAGCTCCTAACCCCCTGCAATAAGCCACAGATTTTAATTTAGAGCACATTTTGAGGAAAACCTTTGGCTGAAAAGCCTGGATCAAGGTCCTTAAATATTATAAGTGTTCTTGGCAGCCAGGTATTCTGTACATGGAACTTTAGGATAAGTCATTACAATATGTCAGTACTTCATTTTGCAAACTATTAGCTCTAATGACAGAACACTGCTCTACAGTTGTCTTGAGCAAGTGATGATGTCTTATGAATATGCTAACAAAGATATGAAAATTACAAATGTAAATAATACTGAGATCTATTGTCGATCCATCAGTTTCTACCAAGAATTGACATTCTGTTTCATTAGGAAGACCTCTCTGCCTTCTTGACACAATTTTTCTACTCTAAAAGTACTGAAAGTACTCTGAAAGACTTTGGCTACTCTGAAAACATAGGGTGTTGACTATTATTCACCACAACAATACTTACTTTGACTGAAACAACTTCAGAGTTTGTGAAAGTCAAATCAAGTCACTGGATAATCATCTGTTTCTAGTACACAATGTATTCCTGATCACTATTTTTAGTACATGACAGACCTTGCTCCAGATTTTAGAAATGGATTGGATTAGAAGTTCCAAGAGTCATTATTTAGAGAATACTTTATTAGTTTCTGTAATCAAACCCATGTAGATAAGACCTTACATATTTAATACAGTGCGTTACCCCTGTACAAATGGAAAAAAAATTAAGTTTAATGTTTCTAGACCAATATGGCTGTTAATTTCTGTACAATGCCAACTCAACACAGTAAACTGGGATACTTTTTCCAAAGTTGACAGCACAGCTAAAGTTTCCAAAAATTCAAATTATATATATGTGTATATATATATATATTTATATAAAAAGACCAATAATAGCAGTATGTTATGCATCAATAGCAGCAATAGCTTTTCCAGGTTCTGCAGTCATCTGACAAAATTATAGAAACATCTAGCACACTCCATTTAAAAAAAAGGGGGGGGGGAGGGAGGAAGGTTAAAAAAAAACCAAAAAACCCCAAAATAGCAAAGTTCTGTTACTGTTGTGGTACCTGGCACCATTTTTTTAAAATTAGTTTCTGAATCATCTGGAAGGAAAACATTCTAGAATAACATCATTAAAAACAGCTCTGATAAAGCACAGTCACTACTACATATCATAAAGCAGGTACAAGGTATTTTACATTCACAGAGGTATGATACAGTACTGTCCTACAACTATAATACTAGAGGATACAATTAAAAAGGCATTATTTGAGACTTGATTCTACTTTTCCAGCAGAGGGCCCAAATGATGGTATGACACCAGCTCTGTAAAGAAATGCACCTTCTTAGACAGAATTTCCTTTCTTTAGCGGCACAGGTCTAGGTACTCTGTTCTTCATGAGTATCGGCTAAAAACCGTCTTAAAAAAAAAATAGAGTCATACAAAGATGACCAAGTGGAGGCAAGCAAGACTTAACCTAACTAATATTTTACCCAATCTGTCATATCTGAATGGTGAGCTCCACAGAAGAAAGGAGATGCCAAGTAGGGCTTCAAAACTTGGGACCACGACAAAAACACAGCATCATTTCCATCAGCAGTGCCAAATGGTGCTCACTTTGATACTGTTCATAGATGCTGACATCAATATTAATCATATGTTCACTCATCCAGGAAGAAGGGGGATGAATTACTACTGTACTTGATTGTGTTCAACTCAATCACCATGTTACAAAAATAGCAAGCTGCCATAATAAAAAATAAGGCTCCTCTATCCAGCGCCAGTAATCTTCAGTTCTTCACCTCCAATCCTACCAATGCCATAACTATATCCAAAGATCATAAGGGAGGCAAAGAAACCACATCTGATGTACTGGCTGGGACCACAATATTGTTCAGGCTGATCTATTCCTCTGCAGTATTATTTTCCTTGTGTTTCATTTAATCATAAGGATTTGTAGTTCTTAATTATATGCACTCGGAAACAAAAAGTGCATATGTTTATATATAAGTTCTAACTGAAGATGCATGGCCATCAACCAAGTGCATATTATGTAGCAGGTGCCAGTTTGCGAAGCCTCATTTTTACTGGTGCAGCAGCTGTGTATCAGTGTACATTGCTCCTATGTCCCTTGTGCACTTCCAAGCTCTAGACAGAATAATGTCAGAGATCATTTTACCCCTTTGGCTGCTGGCATTATCTGACTTAATTCTCCAACCCCCCACCCCTACATCCTCTGCAGTAAACAATAGCCTTTAAGATTTTGCTTCTTCAGTTTTGATCGCCTGAGGTTTGATTGGTCCAGTTCTAACAGGTTTGGTGGCTATGGAGGGTGCAGGGGGTGGCTTTTCTTCTGCTTTTTCCTGACAGACACCAGGAGGGTCAGTCAGCGTATCAGGAGGTTTACTTGAATCACTACCGTCCACTTTCTGAGCTTTGCCGCCTATCTGTTTGCTCTGTTGTTGTTCAGAGAAGAACCGTTGCGTGGACTGAAGAACCTCTGCTCTCTGCTTTGCCTTAAAAAATGAGAAACAATAACTGAAAATGCTGCAGTGTTACCAAAGCCTGTCAAATCAATCTCAATCCAAATTCTTTCACCAATCACAAATCAGTTTTCCCCACATTGGTTTGGCCCAAGCCAAAAGCACCTCATTGATCTTTCAGCTTTTAACGCATAGATTTCTTCCTAGTTTTGAAAACATTCCATGTGGTTTAAAAAAAGTTGAAACAGGCCACCTCCCACCACCTTTCCAAAGTTTGCCCGCTTATAAAATAATAAAACATAAATTGCTGCTGATTTGTATCTTTTCTGGAACAAAGCTTATTGATATCAAATTTTATTTAGGGAGCCTAATTGGAAATCTGAAAACATACATGTAACACTTAACACTTCTAGTTATTAATATGTGGTCTACAATAAAAGGAAAAGGAAGCACTTATATTGTGGCATTACCAACACCTAGGACCAAATGTCTTGTGGCTGAGTCCTCTTCCCACAGCTCTCTTCTGCAGGGGAAGAGCATCAGAAATTAGTAACTACAACTTCACTTGATCACTAAGTTCTGATAGCTCCTACCACATTCTGAGCTGGTAAAATAGTTTCTTAGTTTTATGACTATGTGCCCCAAAGAATATACTTACGTCAACCTGTATATTTTACCACTGAAACACACACAATTAAAACAAGTCTCTATTTCTCTTGCATATAATAAAAAATTCTTTATGTTCTACCGATAACCTGTACTACCCAAAAGATCTGAAGAAATTTTAAGAAATTAGTGCCTCTTCCACCCCACTAAGATCATTCAACTTTAAGGTCATTTTCAACAATGTGTGAAAATCAAGGGCCAAGGTGTCAGGAGCAGAACTGGAAACCAAGGCCAAAGAATACAATGATTTTCACTCATATCTGTATTGTTAATAGGCATGAACAGATGGAAATGCTAGTTACACAGCCTTAATAAAAGTAGGTAATATTTGACAAAAGTTTTGCTGCAGGGGTCTTTGAATTTGATTACTCAGGACCAGAAACACAAAGAATGTCAACCGAGAAATAAACTTCAGTCAGTCAATCAAATTCTCTAAACAGAATCATAAACATGTTTCTAATTCAGAGTAAAGCATTACTGTACACACTTCCCTATTTGAAAGTAGTATGCTTTTCTTTGTTCTAATCTAGTCTGATGACTTATGGAGTGACAATGACAAAACAAGCAAAATTAAAATTACTAAGACCTCTAAAAAGTTAACCCTAAAGTAAATACAGAAATAAACAAAGATTCAACTGGCTGTACAGGCAGACATGTAATAAGGTTTGTGCTACAGAAACTGTCCCCACACAGACTCCTAAAGGCACTCTTCTGCGTTAACAAACCTTATGTTTACCAGTGCCTTTCTTTCATCATGAAGGATCCCAAAGTGCTTTTCTGAGTTCTTCATCTACAACTTCACAATCCACTGTGGAATACGACCACTTGAAGTGGCAGGCAAAAAGATTATGAAGACAGTTTGAGAAGGAAAACTGTACCCTGATGACTCATGACAGAAAAAACCAAGATAGGTAACATGTCTTACCCATTCCAGAATTCTCATATAACCATGATTTATATTTTAAGCTGGTGAAAGAGGGAGGGAAAAGAGAGGGGAAGGGAAAAAAAAAAAAAAAAGAAAATGGGGAAGCCTATAATAACCAATATTATTTTTGCTAGCCCCAAAAATGTAGCATCTAAACTCAGATCTCCCTCAAATATTTATTTTATAACAACTCATTTGGCCAAAGTTTAAAACATTAATTTGTTTCCTGACTATAGTTGCAAAAGAAAAAAAGGAAAAAAAAAAAGATGGAGGGGATGGGAACAGAGGAGAAGAAGGAGGAAAAAAAAGAAAGAAAGAAAGAAAAGAAAAAGAAAGAAAGAAAGAAAGAAAGAAAGAAGGAAAGAAAGAAAGAAGGAAAGAAAAAACAAAGGAATGAATAAAAAGGACTGTTAGCTTGGTTAAGTCTGCTAAGACAATGAATGCCTGGATATACAGTTATGGGTCCAGAGGCATTTTAAGACATGGATCAGAGACAGATTCTTGATCTGTTGGCTGTTAACACTGTACTAACCTTCATGTCTTGTTCAGCCTTCAACGCAGCCTGGGCCTGATTACCTCTGACTCCAGATAGTGATCCACAAGGACCCCTGGCTACATGTGGCAAACGAGCATGGCTCATGAGGCCTGTGGTCAGCGGAGGAGGCATCTGACTGGCCAGTGCCATGGGCGGCCTCTGAACAGGCGCTGGGAAGGTGTTAGTATGTGGGGCTCTTACCAATGGAGGGACCAGGTTAGGCTGAGAGAGAATCTGAGTGAAAAAAACAAAACATACAACATTCAACTGTTAAAAAAAAAAAGGCCAACTAGACAAGGATGGCTTATCCCAGAGTAAATCGGTGCCCATCCTACCAGTGAAAGGAAGTGTATGGAATGTGCCATTCCATTAACAGGGACAAAGAACAAACAGGCCATGCTTGGAGAGTTTAAAAGAAAAATTAGCAAAGCATGCTATGGCACTTCAGTTGGTCCTAGCATCTCAGCTGTAAATTCTGAAGGGGGGACAGAAAGACTTAATTAGGGTATCTTTTACAAGGTACAACTGCAGAAAAGGCACACACCTATAACAGATATAATCTGAAGATAAATACAATTAATTCTAATTCAACAAATAAGTGTTTTCTCAGAAAACAATTCTGGTTCTTATCAATTTTAGTCAGTTCTTTAATATGATCAGCAAGGGGAAGAGGAGCCAACATTTTTACACATATTAAAATATCTTTTTGGAAATTTTAATCTCAACTGCATATAGATATCTTACAAAAACAAAAATCCCACTTTAAACCTAGAAAACTTCAAGCACTGGGACCCTTCGCTAAAAAGTCAACTTCTTAAAAAAAAGATAAGAGGAAAAGGACTAAAATGATCAGAGCTGTGTGGGGAATCTTTTGACTATTTCTCTTGTCTGCTTTAGAACTAAATGATTACTGTTTTTGGCTATAAATTGCAGACTATCTGAACATCATAAATTTACTGTAAAAATAAGGTTTTTCAATAAAAACTGTATTTATTAACTAGTTAACATATAGCAAGATCAAAATTTATCCAGATCAATCATTTGCAAGTAAACAATATTCATTTCTCACTATCTGCCCACCTGGGGTGCAAACTGTGTAGGAAACGGTTGTGTCATTCTCACAGTGGCAGGGGCTGACTGGAACTGCTTCTGATAGACAATGCTGTTCATTTTGCTGGACTGGCTATTCGGACTTGTGGAAGTAGCCCTTGAAAAGAAGCCATCACTGGTCAGTATAGTAATACCAAGTAAATAATATTGTTAGATTTTTACAGATTGTTCTTGGTACTTTTGGTGTTTTCATCGTACCTGGTAATTGATAAAAATTTATTATGGTTAAGTTACCAAACATTGTGGCCTGTATTAAAATAATTTACCTAAAATACAGTATAACAAATGTATTCTTAATAATTTAAAACTTAATATTTTAGACAAATTTAAGCATTTAACAAACAGTGAGGAAGTATTTTGAAATTTCATAAGCAAATTTAAGTGCCCATTTTACCGGAAGGGACTAGACGTTGGCGTGGTGCTTCTACCACCAATTGGAGGCGTGCCTGGTTTTATATCAATGCCACTTCCAAAGGCTTTTAGTTCCATTTCAGACATCTGAGGAAAAAGCATAAAATAAACTTAAAACTTCTTCAATTCCACAAGCTAAGTGCTGTTTAATGTCCTATATATGAAGGCTAAACTAGGAGAGGGTAAAAAACCTTAGTACGAAACTCCTACAGTTTGGCTTTAAATATTACGGAATCATCCATTCAAAGAGACTTAAAACTAAATAGGTTTAAAAGACTCTAAAAATCGAGCCGGGTGCAGTAGCTCATGCCTATAATCCCAACACTTTGGGAGGCAGAGGTAAGAGGACGGCTTGAACTCGGTTTCGAGATCAGTCTGAGCAACATGGCGAGACCTCATCTCTACAGTAAATAAATAAATAATTAGCCAGGTAAGGTGGTGCATGCCTGTGGCTCCAGCTACTTGGAAGGCCTGAATCCAGCAGGTTGAGGCTATGGTGGCTGTTGAGCATGCCACTGCACTCTAGCCTACAGAGAAAGACTATCATTAAAAAAAAAAAAAGACTCTGAAAATCTAATACCTCCAAAAAAATTTGTGAATTCTTTGTCTTATTAGATTAAAACCAGATGGGGCCAAACACATTAAAAGTAAATCGATAAAATATAAGATTTCAAATGTTCTACATTTTATTTTTTTGGGACAACACAGATGAGTATATCTGAACACCCTCCCTTAAATTATCAAATAAGCTGTGCAAATATTTTTTACTTACTTTTCCTGTGGTTGCAATCATGCTATGCTGTGTTCCAGCAGGAATTAATCCTCTGAAAGGCTGGCTTACTTGTGTGGGACGACTCAGGCTCTGAGCCTGTGCTTGTGGGGTGGTATGTTGTAATGGGGGCTGAAGAGTCTGAGGCAAAGCAATTAGAGGCTGACCTGTAGATCCAAAGTTAGGCAAGGAAAGCTGGGATGCTGGTAAAGGTACTGTGACCTAGAAAACAAACAAGGAGAAACTGCAGCAGTTTGCGTACATTCACTATTCCTGTAACTACAAACAACTTTTCAAATACTTTTCAGTAAGATTTTAAATAGAATATACCAACCTACTAACATAATTCACAAACGAGTCTTTTTCTTAGAGAGATTACAGGTTGAATATCCCTTATCTGAAAATTTAAAAACCAAAATCTGAAAATCTGAGGGCTGACAAGTAGAAACCTGACCTCATGTGAGATTGTAGTCAAAATGCTGTGAAGACTTCATTCCACGCACAGTTATTAAAAACACTGTACTGCCAGGCTTAGTGGCTCAGCCTGTAATCCCACGCTTTGGGAGGCCGAGGTGAACTGCTTGAGCCTGTGGGTTCGAGACTCACCTGGGCAACTTGGCGAGACCTCATCTCTACAATAAATCAAAAAAATCAGCCGGGCATGGTAGTGCACGCCTATAGTTCCAGTTACTTGGAAGGCTGAGGCGGAAGGATTGCCGGAACCCAGCAGGTGGAGGCTGCAGTGGCCGGGAGCGGGCCACTGCACTCCAGTCTGGGCGACAGAGTGAGACTCCAACTCAAAACAAAACAAAACATACCCCAAAACACTGTACTGTATAAAATTACCTTCGGCTACGTGCATAAGGTGTATATGAAACAACATGTTTTCATGAATCCCATCCCCAAGACATCTCATTTTTCATAGGCAAATATTCCAAGGAAATCTGAAATCTGAGACACTTCTGGTCCCAAGCATTTTGGATAAGGGAGACTCAACCTGTATCTCCATTCTTTTATTGAAGGTGCACTGAAATAATTGGGACTATTTTTTAATTTATTCACAGGACATGTCAAACAATCACAAAATATTGGGGATACAATTTAAGAAAGTAGTCAAAAGTTCTCAAATAGACATTTTAATAATGTTTTCAAGTCTGGCCAAATTTGAGCTCTGAGATGAACAAGAACCTTCAGTTTTCACTTAAAAACTGTATTTAATCTGAATGCCAATCACCCCCACTACTTTTAAAGAATAAGCTGATCAATGATATTACCAGAGAAGAGTTTTAAAAACCATTACTTTTTTACTGAAAACTATTATTGTATTTATACACCCAAGGCAGGTGTTTGTTATTTATACTCTGGCCTTACTTGGCCACATAGTCCTATGTATGGTTGGATGGTTTTTGGAGTCTTTCTTCATTCTAGCACTAATAGGCAAACCACCCACCACACTTACATGTAACTGTATATTCTGGACAATGATTTTCAAACTTTTACATTCACTGAATTCTTTCTTAAAATAGAATAAGCTATTACATGGAAACCCAGTAAAAACCAAAACACAGGCTGGGTGCGGTGTGGCTGGGAGGCCGAGGTGTGAGGACCACTTGAGTTCAGGAATTTAAGAACTAGCCTTGCAACATAGCAAGACCTTGTCTCTACAAAAAAAATACCAAAATTAGCCAAGCATGGTGGCATGCACCAGCCACTTGGGAGGCTGAGGTAGAAGGATCATTTGTGCCGCAGAGATCGAGGCTGTGATGAGCTGTGATTGTGCCAACGCACTCAAGCCTGGGTGACGGAGTGAGACTCCAACTCAAAAAGCAAACAAACAACCTCCCCCAACAAACCCCAAAAACAGAAGCAGAAGAGGTAAAAAAAAGCCAGAACTAACTGAAGAGGCTGGTGGTGGTGGTGGTAAGAAGACGGGTGATGTGAAACTGAAACCCCTTCCACCACTTTCAGTGGAATTCCCCAGGATCCTCAGGGAACAGTTTGAAACCCACTCCTCCATCTTCCCATTTTGGTTCTATTTAAATCCCCAAACAATAACAAAAACAATAAAAATAATAATAAAGAAAATTGAGGAAATTTACCATGCCATAGTTTACCTGCTGGAGAGCACTTGGTGACTGGGCAGTGCTATAAAAATTTGTCTGACCAGGCTGTTGTACTTGTCCAGAATAAAGATTTGAAGCCTGGGTAAGATTTGCTCTAGCCTAGAAAAAATTTTAAAGAAAACATCAACAAAATTGAAAAAAATTCCCAATTCAGAGATGGAGGTTATGACTTCAAAGCAATCTCTAGCAATTTTAGTATTTGATAATAAAGTCTTGTTCACTGTGTCTTTTAACATCTTTTCTTCAAAAGACTGTTTCCTTAACATTAAAAAAAATCTGTTCAATATTTAACCTGCTGCATAGGAATACAATGATTGTGCACGCTCTAGTCCTGGCCTTACCTGGAGAAGATGTGTGTCAATTAGCTGGGAACCTCCTAGTCCTGATGCCTGACCCAGCTGATGTTCATACAATATAGGAATAGGCTGAGTATTTGAAGTTTGTTGAAAGGCAAGACCAGACTGTGCCTTGGCAAGTTCCTGGTGTTGGACAGCTGAAAAGTTGTGGATAGCAGTACCAGACAGGACCACAGATGGCTGGGATAGACTGCTTTGCATAAAGGCAGGCTGAGATCTACAGATGCATTAAAAAGAAAATGTTGTTAGAAGTTAATCTTATCTGAAATATGAAAATCTTAAGAATGAAAATCCCAAATGACTAAGTTCAGTCATGTGTTGCATGGCATTCTGGCCAAAAATGGACCACATATACATCGGTGGTCTCAGAAGATTATAATGGAGCTGAACAATTCCTATTGCCTAGTGATACAACTGTTCTAACATCACAGTGCAATGCATTACTCATGTATTTTTGGTGATGCTAGTGTACATAAACCTACTGCACTGTTAGTCATGTAATAGTTCACCACAGGCAATTATGTATAGTACATAATACTTGTTAATGATAATATAGAACTATGTGTTACTGGCTTATATACTTACTCCTACTTAATAAAAAAAAGTTAACTGCCTCAGGAAGGTCCTTCAGGAGGTATTCTAGAAGAAGGTAGGAGATATCATAGGAGATAACAGCTCCTGCCTGTTACTGAGGACCATCCAGTGGGACAAGATGTGGAGATAGAAGACATTGATACTGATGATCTTGATCCTGTGTAGGCCTAGGTTAATGTGTATGTCTAAATGTTTAACAAAAAAGTTTAAAAAGCAGGAAAAAAATTAAAAATTTTTAGATTAAGAATCTAAAGGAAGAAAATATCTTTGCAGAGCTTTATAATTTTTTAAAAACTAAGTATTACTAGAAAATAATAAAAAAAGTTACAGGGCAACCCTCTTGGGTCCCCTCCTACTGTGGAAGTTTTTCTGTCCTCTTAATAAATCCTGCTTTCTTAAAAAAAAGTCACAATAAGTGAGTTAAATACTGAAGCAAAATGCTTTTACGAATTTAGAGTAGCCTAAGTGCACAGTTTACCAAGCCTATAGGAGTGTACAGTAATGACCTAGGCCTTCACATTTACTCCATACTCACTCACTGACTTGCCCAATGCAACTTATAGTCCTGCAAGCTCCATTCATGGTAACAGCCCTAGTTAACTTTTATGCTGTATTTTTACTGTAGCTCTATGTTTAGATACACAAATAACATTGTGATACAACTGTCTACAGTATTAAATATAGTAACGCGTCACACAGTTTTTAAGCCTACCAGAGGCAACGACCCTATAGCCTAGGTGTGCAGCAGAACACATTTCTTTTTTTTGAGTTGGAGTCTCACTCTGTTGCCCAGACGGGAGAGTAGTGGCACACTCCCGGGCACCACAGCCTCGACCTGCTGGGCCCCGGTGATCCTTCCGCTTCAGCCTTCCACGTAGCCGGAACTACAAACATGTGCTACCATGCTTGGTTCATTTTTGATTTATTGCAGAGACGAGGTCTTGCCAAGTTGCCCAGGTGGGCCTCGAACCCGCGAGCTCAGGCAATCCACTGGCCTTGGTCTCCCAAAGTGCTGGGATTACAGGCTGAGTCACCAAGCCTGGCCCAGAATACATTTTTACAATTTATCTCTATTGTGAAGCTTGACTGTGCTATAATTAGCACAGAAATCAAGAAAAGAGGCAGAGAATACTTGTTTCAAGATTTGGAGCCCTGTATACAAGGAAGTTTCATGTGTACAAGTTCTGGGAAAAGGCTTACTCTCCCAGAGAAACTGGTTGTTTTTTCCTATGGAAGAGTAAGAATATTTTCTTTTTGTGTTTACTACAAAGCTCAGAACCAAATCCATTTTTCTCTTTGGGGACATTCTGACTTATAGAACAAACAGCCCTGACTTTTATTATTTGTATTTCAGTATTTCCTCATATATATTTTTGCTATAAATGGCTTGGCCTCACGACTGTTATAAAATAAAGCAGAGTAGTAGCTCAAATGAGAATTACCCACAAAGACAAAACAAACAAAAATATAAAAACAAATCTAACCCCAGGTTTCCCTAGCATCTCTGAGATGAAAGCCTACAGTCTATCCCTTTAAGATAGTGAGATAAAGAAAAAGCAACTAAGTCAAAAGTAGTGGGTTAAAGATAACATTATGAATAAATAGTATTATGCTTTGTTAAACCAATGGCAGGAACAAAAGCCATTATGCAAGAAGGCTAGTCCAGGATCACAAGGAATCTTCACAATATTGACTTAAAATTAATGTTTCAAACATAAAATGGGAAAAAAATTAGCTGAGTGTAGTGGTGCATACCTGTAGTCCTAGCTACTTGGGAGGCTGTAGTGGGAAGACTGCCTAAGTCCAGGAGTTTAAGGCTGCAGGTGAGCTATGATCGCACTACTGCACTCCAGCCTGAGAGACAGCAAGACCCTGTCTCTAAACAGGAGGGAAAAAAAAGTAAAAAATAAATAATTAAATTGTCCTGTCCTTATAGAACCTAATTTAGAGGTTCCCTAATAAACACCACTGACTGGGTTATGGAGAAAGCACGGAGTGCTTAGGGATACAAGCAACTGCTTTCAAAATTTAAACCTAGGCCTTCCAATAACCATAGCTATAATTACATGCCTTGCATTATACTTCTACTGAACAGGTCTGGTCTTAAAAATACATATTCCACCGGGCTCGGTGGCTCAGCTTATAATCCCAGCACTTTGGTAGGCCGAGGCAAGTGGATTGCCTGAGCCCACGGGTTTGAGACCACATTTCTACAATAAATAAAAAAGTAAATGGGTGTGGTAGCGCGTGCCTGTAGTTCTGGCTACTTGGAAGGCTGAGGCAGAAGGATTGTTGGAGCCCAGCAGGTCAATGTTAGGGTGGCCTTGAGTGTGCCATTGCACTTCAGCCTGGGTGACAGCATGAGACTCCAACTCAAGAAAAAAAAATATTTTTTCCCCAGACAACTGGTAAAATGAGCAACACAAATACAGAATGTCTGTGCATTGCTTCTCCATCTTACAAGGCTATGAAAGACATTACTAATTAGTCACTGTACTCTTTTTCAGAGTTGGAAAGTGGTTGCAAAATTTGACAGTATTTCAAGCAGCCAACACCAATTAAAAGAAGACTGGCTTGTGATTAAATCTAGTTGCTATTCCTTAGTTAGAAATTTTAAAGTTTTCGTATATTTTAAGAGAATCCCAAATTCAATATATGAAACTACCTCTAAGCCGGGCTCAGTGGCTCAGCCTGTAATCCCAGCACTTTGGGAGGCTGAGGTGAGTGGATTGCCTGAGCCCGCGGGTTCGAGACCCGCCTGGGCAACTTGGCAAGACCTCATCTCTACAATAAGTCAAAAATTAGCCGGACATGGTAGCGCGCGCCTGTAGTTCCAGCTACTTGGAAGGCTGAGGCAGAAGGATCGCCGGAGCCCAGTAGGTCGGGGCTGCGGTGGCCGGGAGCGGCCTCTGCACTCCAGTCTGGGTGACAGAGTGAGACTCCAACTCAAAAAAAAAAGGAACTATCTTTAACTTCTAGTGGGGTTAGTTTTGCTTAATGGGAATAGAACTATTTAATAGAGAATATTTCTTGGATTACTCGAACTAAATGACAGAGAAAGACCAGGGAAAAAACCATGACAATCACATAAGTAATGATACAGATGCATTCAATTCTACTGAAAAACCTACTCAAAAATCAGAAGAGAAAGCCATATTAATCAAGTTTACTAATGACTCTGCCTTACACTGAGAAAGTTTAATGAGCTGAACCTAGCTTTTTGAAGAGTATCATTTATGGCAGTGTAGAAGAAATGAGCTGTATCAATTATGCCACGTTTAACCCACAAAGTATGAAAATTCTATCCGAACCCATATCTGAAAAACAAATTCCGAAAAGCAAATGCACAAACTCCCCAAACTAAATGTCCTGAATGTAATTGTTTTTTCCCTCAGGTAATTCAGGGACATTACCATGAGTGTGGAGGACAGCTGTGCCAGGAACATGTTCCAACCACTGGACTCTGACTCCCATCTTCTTCCCTCATTAAGTTGGAGACCAGAGATGCCTATGGCTGAGTGCAAGCTTTCCCACTTCTAGTGTAACTCAGGTAAAAAATCCACCCTTAGCTGGGCTCGGTGGCTCAGCTTGTAATCCCGCGCCTTGGGAGGCTGAGGTGAATGGACTGCCTGAGCCCGCGGGTTCGAGACCCACCTGGGCAACTTGGTGAGACCTCATCTCTACAATAAACCAAAAAATTAGCCAGCCGTGGTAGCATGTGCCTGTAGTTCCAGCTACTTGGAAGGCTGAGGCAGAAGGATCGCCGGAGCCCAGCAGGTTGAGGCTGCGGTGGCCAGGAGCAGGCACTGCACTCCAGTTTGGGCGACAGAGTGAGACTCCAACTCAAAAAAAAAAAAAAATTCCATCCTCTTCAACTCCCAACTTCAAGTCAAATGTAGTTGTGTGGAGACTTAAATTGAGTTAATGTATGTGAAGGGCTGAAGAGTTATATAAATAAAATACAGTGCACCCGAGTGGATTTTTAGAATAAACACCTCGCATTTTCACTCCATGGCATTCTTATCACTATCACTATGCTTAGCTGATATTTTACCCCCGTTACATCCATCCTGCCCTCTGTCCTCCACAACACAATGTAGTTATCTGTCAAGCCTTGGCTCTTACGAAGAGGACACTTGGATTTATAGCTATTAGTAGCCAGAAGGCACGTACACTTTTAGGTCCTTTAATAGCTATTTTCTGTGATTTCTAACAGTTATGAAGTTGCTGTCACCCACTTCTTCAATGAGATCTAAGACTTGACTTTTTAAATAAAGCTCAGTAGAAATTATCAGAGGCTGAGGTTCATAGAATTTGATGTGGGGGGAGGGATTAAGATGGCTGACATGAGACAGGTAGAGTGAATTTCTTCTCTAAAGAAATCAAGATAGAAAGAGTTCCCTAAGCATCCAGAGAGGAACAAGACCAGCAGCATGCCCCAACAACTCTCGAAAGAAGCAATAATAACCACAAAGTGCAAAGAAGAGAAAAATCCATCCATCTGGGCTGGAACTGGTCAAACTCTTGCCAAACTACTGGCTGTCTCCAGACACAGTGGGGAAGGTGAATGAGGGGAATTCAGGAGTTCTGTGCTCCTGCTGAGGACTTGGAGGACTCCCCGAGCCTAGGAGGACTCTAGTCCTTCAAGGGAAACTGCCTTTGTCTACACAGAGTGGTGCAGAAAAGAAGCCAGACGTCTTCTAGGCCTGGGAAGGAACAGCCCCAAGGGCAAACTCCCTAGCTGCAGACAGATACTCAGCTGCCTGAGAACATGTGAGGCCCTAAGGCCAGCTGCACTTTGACATTCACAGGCAAACTGCCTGAGGCCAAAGCGGGAAGCCAGGTGGGACTCTTTGCAATAGCAACTTCTGGCATCTCCCTTCCCCTGTAAACTCTTCTGTGCTTGCCCTGCACAAGAGTTACTCCACGGTTCTGGAACTCCCTCCTAACCCCCACTGGGGTAGCTAAGGGTACACTCTTGTGGAAGGCTCAAATCAAAGAACTTGGGTCCCTAGAGCCCCACCTTCTGCCTAGGTTGGCTGGGCACCTCCTTGGAGAAACATACACCAAAGAGAATGCCCAAAGTCACCACCACAGCTGGCTTTCTCCCTCAAGTACCACCTCCTGGCCGGAAGTCAACAGTATAGCCCACCGCATCAGATATAATACCTCAGCTTCAGGGTAGGCCTGATCCCAGATCCCAGCTAACAGCACCTTCCAAATCACTGGCCTCTCAGGATGCTATGGGCCAGTGCAGGTATCTAGCACAGGACTGCCACAGCTGGCAACTGAGAAACTCACCACACCAAGGCTGGATATAACCAAGGGAATACTACAGTGCATATACCAGCCCCCCACCAACTTCAAATAAGAAACAGTCTACCCAAATGAGAAGGAACCAGAAAATAGTTCTGACAATACAAAAAAGCAGAGTTCTCAAACACCCCCAAAGACCACACCAATTCTTCCACAACAAACCCTAACCAAAATGAAATTTTTGAAATGCCAGACAAGAATTCAAAAGGTTGATTCTAAAACTGATCAGTGAACTTCAGGTGAAAATTAAAAACCAACATAAAGAAATCTAAAAACTATTCAGTACATGAATGAAAAATTCTCCAGAACTTGTGAAACCAAACAAAGACACAGAAGTTAAACAATTTGCTCCTGAATGATCCTTGGGTGGATGATGAAATCAAGATGGAAATTTAAAAATTCCTCGAAACGAATGACAACAACGAAACAAGTTATCAAAACTTCTGAGACAGAGCCAAAGTGGGCTCTTAGGAAAATTTATAGCACTCAAGGCCTACATTAGTAAGACTGGAGGATCACATATTGACAACCTAACATCACACTTCAAAGAATCAGAAAAACATGAACAAATCAAACCCAAAGCTAGCAGTAGAAAAGAAATGATGATCAGAGCATAACTAAATGAAATTGAAAAACAAAAATAAAAAGCATCAACGAAACCAAAAGTTGGTTCTATGAAAAGATAAGCAAAATTGATACACCACTAGCTAGATTAAGAAACAAAGAAGATTCAAAGTAGCTCAACTGAAAATGAAAATGGGGACATTACAACTGATGACAGAAATTCAAAAGATTATCCAAGGCTATTATGAATACCTCTATGCAAACAAAGTAGAAAATACAGAGGAAATGGAACATACAAAACATACAAACCCCCCAAACCTCGAATCAGGAAGAAATAGAAACTCTGAACATAACAATAACAAGCAGTAAGGTTAAAACAGTAATTCAAAGTTTCCCAACAAAAAAAGTCCAGGACCTGATGGACTCACAGCTGAATTCTACTAGACCTTCAAAGAAGAACTGGTCACAATTTTGCTGAAGGTTTTTCACAAGACTGAAGAGGAGGGAATCCTCCCTAACCTCACTCATTCTACAAGGCCAGTAGTACTCTGATACCAAAGCCAGGAAAAGACACAGCAAAAAAGAAAACTACAGACCAATATTCCTTATGAACATAGATGTGAAAATCCTCAACAAAATATTAGCCAACCCAATTAAATAGCACATTAAAAAAAAAAAAAGAAGAAAAAACTCCCATAACCAAGTGAGTTTTATCCCAAGGATGCAAGGGTAGTACAATGTACACAAGTCAATAAACATAATCCATTACATAAACAGAATTAAAAACAAAAATCATAGGATCATTTCAACAGACGCAGAAAAAGCATTCGATAAAATCCAGTATCCCTTCATGATAAAAACCCTTGGCAAAATAGGCATAGAGGAAACAGTCCTCAAAATAATAAAAGCCATATACAACAAACCCACAGCCAAGGTTACCCTAAAAAGACAAAAGTTGAACGGATTCCCCCTCAGAACTGGAACAAGACAAGGATGCCCACTTTCACCACTCCTATTCAGCACAGTACCAGAAGTCCTAGCCAAAGCAATTAGGCAAGAGAAACAAATAAAGGGTATCTAAATTGGAAAAGAAGAAATCAAACTGCATCTGTATGCTGATGATATATGATTTTATACCTACAGAATCCTAAAGATTCCTCCAAAAGACTCGTGGACCTGATAAAATAATTTGGTAAAGGTTCAGAATATAAATTCAACATACACAAATCAGTAGCACTGCCATAGCAACCAACCTGAGAATCTAATCAAGAACCCAATTTCATTTACAATAGCAGCCAAAGAGCTAAAATACCTAGGATTATATTTACCTAAGGAGGTGAAAGATCTCTACAATGAGAGCTATAAAACTCAGACAAAAGAAATTATAGAGGATACAAATGAAGAAACATCCCATGTTCACAGATTGAAAGAATCAACATTGTTAAAACGACCATATAACCCAAAGTAATTTACAAATTCAACACAATCCCTATCAAACCACCAAATGACATTCTCCACAGTTTTAGAAAAAACAATCCTAAAATCCACACGGGACAAGAGCCAGAATAGCCAAAGCAATCCTAAACAAAAAGAACAAGGCTGGAAGCCTCACATCACATGACTTCAAATTTTACTATAAGGCTGTAGTAACGAAAACAGTGTACTGGTACAATAGCAGACACAGCTATCAATGGAACAGAATAGAGGAACCAGAAATAAACCCAAATACCTACAACCAACTGATCTTTGATAAAGCAGACAAAAACATACAATGGAGAAAGGACATCCTATTCAACAAATGGTACTGGGAAAATTGGATAGCTACATGCAGAAAAATGAAATTTGATCCCTATTTCTCACCATAAACAAAAATTAACCCAAGATGAATTAAAGACTCAAGTGTCAGACCTGAAACCACAAAAATCCTAGGCAAAGAAATTATGGCTAAAACCTCAAAAGCTAATGCAACAAAAATAAACAAGTGGGGCTTAATTAAACCAAAAACCTTCTGCACAGCAAAAATGCAACCTACAGAATGGAAAAAGATATTAAAAAACTATATATTTGACAAAAGACTAATATTCAGAATCTGCAAAGAACTCAGGCCGGGTGTGGTGGCTCCTACCTATAATTGGGGGAGGCCAAGGTGAGAGGACTGCCTGAGCTCAGGGGTTGGAGACCAGCCTGGGCTACTTGACAAGACCTCATTTCTACAACACATAACAAACAAACAAACAAAAAATTAGCCGGGTATGGTGGCACATGCTAGTAGTTCTAGTTACTTGGAAGTCTGTGATGGAAGGATCATCTGAGCCCAGCAGGTTGAGGCTGTGGTAGCCATGATCGTGCCACTGCAATCCAGCCTGGGAGACAGTGAGGCTCTGAATCAAAAAAGAACTCAAATAAATCAGCAAGAAAAAAAAGCAAATAACGCCAGTAAAAAGAGGGCAAATAAAGTGAACAGATATCTCTTAAAAGAAGACATACAAATGGACAACAAATTTATGTAAAAGCTCAACATCACTCATCATCAGAGAAATGCAAATTAAAATCACAATGATACCATCTTACATCAGTCAGAATGGTCACTATTAAGAAAATCAAAAAGCAATGGTGGCACAGATGCTGTGTGAAAAGGGCGCTATTGGTGGGGGTGTAAATTAGTACAAACTCCTTGGAAACCGGTATGGAGATTTCTCAAAAAACTACCATTTGATCCCACTACTAGGTATCTACCCAAAGGAACAGAGGTGACTATATAAAAAAAAAAAGACACCTTCACTTGCACGTTCATTGCAGCACAGTTCACAATCGCAGAGGTGTGGAATCAACCTAAATATCCATTAGCCGATTGACAGATAATTAAAATGTGGTATATATACACACTATGGAATAAACTATTCAGCTATCAAGAATGAAATAATGTCTTTTGTAGTTACTTGGATGGAACTGGAAAGTATCCTAAGTGAACTAACTCAAGAACAGAAAACAAGACACATGTTCTCACTTGTAGGCAGGAGCTAAACTAAGGACATGCAAAGAGAATGGTACCACGGACTCTGACGGGGGACGGAAGAGGGGAGGGACACAAAATCACTACCGAGTACAATGTACTACTACAGGTAGGGGTGGTGGATCCACTTAAAGCCCACACCAAAACTATTAGTACAACCCAAAACTATTCTAATTAAAAAGGAATTCAATGTAGCTTATAACACAATCATACTAGTTTTAGGGAGGAAGGAACAATAGGGATTATGGCAAAGAGGCTCAGCAATCATACTTTTGCAATACCATAAACGCAACTTTTAAAGCATCTACCTATATGGTTGAAGCGAAGAGCTGAATAATTCCTGGGCCTGGGAAACAGCAGGTCCAGCCCCCAAACTCAGTTGGGCTTGATGCTGCCCTTGCAGTGGTGCGTAAATAGGAATAGGAATCTGCTGGACTGAAGTTGGCTGCGATGTAATGAAAAGAAACCATAAATAAACATATTATATACGAACATCACACAGACAAATCACAAGACCTTGGAAAAATCTGAGATATAAAAAGAATAAAAGATTAATAACATATGTCAATTCCCTTTGAAAACAAAAGCAAATATAAACCTCTAAATTTTCCTTTCAACCCATTACTTTTTCTACATTGTTAATAACTAAGCTTTGGTAACTTTAGAAAAGTTTTAAAAAGTTTGCTAATAGCATATCAAGGTTAGCTTATAACTTCAGAGAGTCTATTATACTACCTATAGTCCAAGATGACCACTATATAGCCGGAAAAAAGACACAAAGCAAGTAACAGGATGGAAAAAGTCTTTGATACTTACCTGAGAGAGGCCTGGTTGGAAGCCTTGTTGTTGAGCCAGGGATGGTGGAGCCAGTCGTGCGTGTTGGGTATTGAATAAATGACTTGTGTCCATATAGAATGCTGGGATTTGAGCTAGAAGCCGTCAGGAAAAGCAAGTAGTAATAAGTATCCTAACTTACAGCAAAAAGATGTGAAGCTTTTAGTAGACAGGTACATGTAAAGCATACAGGTACTTATATTTTGCCAATGGTAACATTTCACAACATCTATTAAAACTGAAAACTGTACCCACACAAAGAACTAGCAATTCCATTCCAATTTTAAATCTACCTACTAGAATTTAGCAGAATATTTCAAGAGAATTGACATTTAATAATTAAAAGAGTTTGGCATGGCTTCTTAACACATTTCTATGTATGATACACACTATTTTTTGACTTGTTTTTCTGGAGAACTTCACATATTGCTTTTTTTTTTTGAGTTGAAGTCTCATTCTGTCATTCAGGCTGGAGTGCAGTGGCATGCTCATGGCCTCCGCAGTCTTGACCTTCTGGGCTCAGGTAATCCTTCCACCATAGCCTTCCAAGTAACTGGAACTACAGGCACGCACCATCACACCCAGCTAATTTTTTTATTTACTGTAGAGATGAGGCCTTGTCAAGTTGCCCAGGCATCTTGAATCCTGGGCTCAGGCAATCCTCTCACCTCTGCCTCCCAAAGTGCTGGGATTACCAGCTGAGCCACTGTGCCCATCCTCACATATTGCTTTTAATATGTTACTATTATAAACAATACTGTAATGAATATCCTCATACGTGTATCTTTGACTAATAGGTTAAATGTATCTGTATGAGACTCCTAGCTATAAAACTATTACTATATACACATACATTTTCTAGGATACTTTTCAAAAAGAATTATGTCAATTTATATACTTTCAGCAATGTTCTTTAAAGTCTATTAATAATACCTGGTAATCTTGATAGAAAGACACCAGGTATTAATAGATGCTAAGTACTATCTATCTTTCTATGGAAGGCAAGAAATAGCCTCACTATTCTTCTGAACTTAAAAGACCTTGACTATTTTTCAAATGTTTCAGACTAACATTGTGATATTCAGTAAGGCAAGCTACCTCTCACTATGTAAGGTTTTTTTCTTTTTTTGTATTTTATGTTTACTCTTTCCCAAGAACTTCACTGTCATATTTCAGATAAAACTTTTAGTAATCTGATTAGCCCAGTGTCATGGACATAATTATTTTGCAAATTAGACATGAATTTGTTTAATATGCACAATAAACAAGTTCCAGTAATATACATGTAAGGAACCACTGCCAAGAGACCCAGAATTCTTGTCAAAGAGAAAGGAGAGATAGGACTTAACTCTGTAAGGGAATATATTTGAAAAGCAGATTAAAAAGTATATTTAAATTTGCAAGGGTAAATAAGGAAAAAAAAACACAAGCATTCAAAAAGTCTTCATTTTCTAAATTCCTGACACTCAATCCTACCAACATTACCTGCTGCAGACTGCGACACATAGACTTGAGGACTTTGCTGCTGCTGGGCAATGAGCGAAGGCATGCAGCTGAGCTGGGAGAAGTGACTCGCAGAAGGCAAGCTGCTGGTCTGTAACTGCTGAGGTTTCACTTTACAGATATTTGGAGGATCTGAGGTGGTTGTAGATTTTGTACTCAAAGAAGAGGTAGTGTATGTACCAGCTCCTGCATTTGGGGAAGGGATATAGTAAGGGAAAGACAGCATATTTAACAGTGCTGTTGGTGTACACAGCACCAATCAGCAACAGGAAAATTAATGTTTATACTCATTATGTGCTTCTATACTGCTTCAGGCCAAAAATGGACAGGAAATGGCTTATAAAAGAAAAGAACAATTATCATCAAATGCACACATGACTACAAAATGTGGCAAAACATAAACAATAGAAGATTTAAACAAGGAAGAAACAAAATACAAATTCATAAAATGAGGTTGAGAGCCTATATGGCAGCTACAGTTTAGCCTAAAATTATTATTTGGCTTTAATCATTACAAAGAAAGAAAATGATACATAATCAAAAGTTTCATTCATTTGTGACCAGACACAGATACAAGAATATAGAAGGACAAAGTGTTGTACCTTAGGAATAATTATAAATGGAAATGGGCCTTGAGAGCTCAATTGCTCCTAAAAAGCCACAAACTTAAGGTTAGATTTCTCTCTCTCCCATTCAAAAACTGGCATAATTACAAAATTTAGGTATTGAAGGGTCAATTAGATATGTTGATCAGAGAGCTATAATAACTGTAATGGACTAAAATGACAATACTGGCACATCTGATTAAAAAGGAAGTAACAGTTATCATCATCTTCAGACCCCAGATGATGTTCCACCTAAGTGGGCCAAGATTCAGGTGCCTCTATTCTTCCAGCTGAGTATCTACCAGTAGGATGACTGGGTAAGAAGTTGCTTGTTAAGAAATTATCCTTGCCAAAGGAAATGGAGGAAATTTAGACCTGAGGAAGGGAAGCAGTTGGGTTTCAAAGAAAGCACCAAGATCCTTCCCCCTCCATTTATTTCCATGTTTTCCTAACAATTCTTCTTCTGTTTCTTTTACAGCACCCCCAACTCCCCAACAAGGAGAATGGGCCCAAGCTAGTTTAGCAAGCATAAGTGAATACGTCCTGGCAAATGGGCAGTGGGGAATGCTTGGGCTTTAAAGAGGGAAGAGGTACATCTGCAACATAGTTTGATTTGAAATTTTAATGTAGTGTATAATCTCTGAGTTTGTGTTAATACATAGTTCTGATTACATATAATATCAAAATAACGGCAGTACATACAACCCAAAGATCAGCTTCTTTGGTACATAAACTATCACAGTAGGCCTGAATATTGAAAAACAATACTGGATGAGAATCAGCCAAAGAAAGTAAATGCCATGCTGGATATATCTACGGGAAAGTGGCTTCCCACTGCTTTGAAACACAAGACAATACCGAGAAAGCGTAAAATGAAATTTCTTTTTTCAACAAAAGAGACATGGCTCCACATAACGGTAAAGGGAAACAGGTGCACTTTTCTATAGTCAAGCGTTTTTAGAAACACGGCCTGTTTCTCCTTAAGAACTGTAAACCCTCCACATGACACAGTTCAATGAAAAGATTACGCACCAAAACAAAAAAGGTTACCCAACTAGTAAAAAAATTAAGAAAATCTAGGCTGAGTACAATAGTATATTCTTGTAATTCCAACATTTTGGGAGGTTGAGGAAGGATCACTTGAGGCTAAGAGTCAGACACTAGCTGGGGCAACATGGCAAGACCATGTCTCTATAAAACAAACAAAATCAGCTGGGTAAGGTGGCAGGCTGGCGCACCTAGCCCAGAAGTTCGAGACTGCAATGAGCCATAATCACACCCCTGCACGCCTGCCCTGGCAACAGAGCAAGAGCCTGTTTCCTTAAAAAAAAACCCAAAAAAACCAGAAAAGCAAAAATATAAGTTTAAAAAAAAAAAAAGGCAAGAAAAGCACCTTCTAGCTGGACTCGGTGGCTCAGCCTGTAATCCCGTGCTTTGGGAGGCTGAGGTTGAGTGGATTGCCTGAGCCGGTGGGTTTGAAACCTGCCTGGGCAACTTGGCAAGACCTCATCTCTACAATAAATAAAAAAATCAGCCGGGCGTGGTAGCGTGTGCCTGTAATTCCAGCTACTCGGAAGGCTGAGGCGGAAGGATCGCTGGAGTTCAGCAGGTCTAGGCTGCGGTGGCTGGGAGCGGCCACTGCACTGCAGTCTGGGCAACAGAGTGAGACTCCAACTCAAAACAACAACAACAACAAAAGAAAAGCACCTTCTAACTTGAGGACCTCAAAATCAAAGCCAAAAACCAATGGATTTCATCACTCAATAGCAAAGGTTGAAAATTCTCTATTCCTATCTTTTCACCAGAAAATATATAGGTTACCCCAACAGGTTTAGGTCAATACTCCTTCAAGTTTGATTCAGACTGTAAAACATGTAAAAGTTGTATGAATCTGTATTATTTCTGAGCTGATCTACTTAGCTGTATATGGGTAAAAAATGCCAATCAAAAGGTAAACTTCACTTAAAAAAAGTAGAGGAAAATGACATTTCTTTAACCAATTACGCTTTAGTATCTGAAATTTTCATGGGTGGGTAAGGGGAGCAGGAGACTCATCAAATTTTTGTTTTGGTAAGTCATCAGTAGGTATTTACCAAACTAACTAAAATTGGGAGAAAGTAAAGGAGGGGGAAGAGGTAACTGCAGCAAGACGTTTTATAAAATAACTGATGAGCATCTTACATACAATCTGATGTATTTTGTTAATAATGCCTTGGTAAGGGAGAGGGAACAGGAGATCCTAAGAAATTTTAAATAATACAAGATATTTAAAGAGAAGGTACTAAAGAGTTCTACCTGATAGTGATGTTGTAGGAGTGACTGAAGCAACAGGAATCTGAGGCATAGAAGCACTTGAGAAAGAATTGTAATTAGCAGTGCTGGGTCCACTGGCACTACTGATGACTCCACTTGCAATCGGAGGTGCTGTGGAAGTAACTGGAGATCCCTTTTCCCTCACGTTTGGAGAATTCTCCCATGCCTTGCGTGCAGACTCCATCTGCAATAAAATAGACATTTTTATGGCAAAAATTATGCTAATACAAAACTAATATACATATATATGCATACACTGATGTATACATATAAACATTTAAATTCTAAATGGAATCTTTCAAAAACCACAAAAATAAAAGATTAAGTCCCCAGGGTTTTCAAACTTTTCACCTGCCCCTTTATCTTTGCTCCTTTACACAAAATGAGGGTGAGATTTAATTTTGTTTCCACAGAGAACTTGTTGATGGCTTTGGGAAATAGATCAGTGAACCATAAAGACACAGTTCCTTATGTCATTTAAACCCAAGCCCCTCTGACTACCAGTGAATAAGGAAAGGCCCCCAGTAAATAACCAACCTCTCCATTCTTTCTCTGGAAGCCAAGGCTTCTCAAATGGCAGAATGGCATCTTGAGTGACTGCTTCCCACTCACAGTGTTTTTAAAAGGCAATGTAATCAGGTAGGCTTTAGGCCTGTGTATAGTAGAAATAACGTTTCTAGGTGCAGACATCTGTCTCTGTGACTCCTGGTTGTAGCTATAGTCTCTAATTTTCTTAAAGGCAGAAATTGGTCTTATTTCAATCTACCTAGAGTAGCACTATTCAGCAGATAAATATTTTAACTTATTTTAATTCCAATAATTTGAGAAATAGTGCATGTTTTACCTTGCCTTCCTTTAAAAACACTCTACTCATAATTTAATCTTTTCTTAGTAATTGTCATCATTGTACATTCAAAATATGCACTTTCAAGTTTGAGAAAAGTCTTTTTTTCAGTTGCCTTGTTGATTCAAATGTGTTTTACTGTAAAATACAATGCTTGATGGGGGAGGCTTAGGAAATTAGCCATAATGCAATTTACTTATACCTGAGATTTTTGTGATTTAGAGCAATTTGACAGAGTACGATGTCTTTCATACCAGTTTTGTTTTGTTGAGAACACAAATTATTAAATTGTAGCTAATCAACCTTGTAGGATATATAAGCCATATGCTCTTGATTTTATTTCTTTTCTTTTGTTTTTTTTTTTTTTGAGTTGGAGTCTCACTCTGTCACCAAGACTGGAGTGCAGTGGCCGCTCCC